GGTGACTGGTACATAAACATGAATATTGAAATACGTTGTTCTAGAGCTCACTTGTAATTGATTAAGCTAAATATGCCTTATAGAAAAGTGAATAATTTAGAAAATATGTCAATTTTTTGCTTTTTGTACAAGTTCAGTACATACTCTTACAAATCTTGAAATTTAGAGAGTAATAATAGTGTCTTTGGCAATGTGTCGACTTCTCTGGATAGATTACATCCTAATACACATTTAAAGTCAAGAAATACTGTAAATATTTCGATGGTTTCAAAATACAGGAAGTGAAATATTCGGTTTTTAAGTTAATTGTCAAACAAACTGTTTATTCATGAGCGTCTATTTCAAAATATCGATGATACATTCAGCATACAAATTATTGTAAAAACTTCTCTGTTTTATTACCTTTCGAATGAGGTATGAAGCATGGCAAAATGTCTTTCCAATTAGCCAATAATAAGATAACGATTGGCGCGAGCACAATTTTGACAACCTATCCAATGTGAATAAAATTCTAAATCGATTACACCTGCGGTTGAAATTCAATTCATTAATGGTTAACAACCATCGGTTAAACAATTTTTTTACGTTTTGGTAGTAAGCCATGGAATTTAGACAGTTTTTTCGTTAATATTGTTTATTTTTATTTGAATAAAATTTTGGTTAAAATGTCATTGTTTACAAATGATGAGTATGCCGACATCCTATTTATTTACGGTTTCTGTGACGGAAACGCATCAGCCGCTCATCGAGAATATCAGCAACGCTATCCAAATCGACGAATTCCTCATATTAGTGTATTTGGCGCCACTTATCGACGTTTAGCTGAGATTGGCAATTTAGTGTAGGACGTGCTGGATTTAATGTGGAAGAAGACATTTTGGAAACATTCGATGAAGCATCCACATGCAGTACAAGAAACGTCGCTGCTAATTTGGGGATATCACAATAAAAGTCTGGTCAACTCTTCGACAAATGGGCAACCATCCTTATCATTATACACCTGTCCAGGCACTTGAAGACGGCGATCCTGAACGGAGGATTCAATTTTGCCGGTTTCTTTTAAATGCTGACATTCAGGATGAATATTTCTTGAGAACGATTTTATGGACCGACGAATCGAAGTTTAACAGAGGAGGTATAACAAATCTTCATAATTTACATTATTGGACTGACGAAAATCCTTATCTAATGAAGGAAACGAGCAACCAAAGAAAATTTAGTGTGAATGTGTGGATAGGGCTCATTGGAAATAATTTGATTGGTCCTCATTTTTTTCCAGATCATTTAAATGGCGCAACGTATGGTGATTTTTTACATAATAATTTAATAGAAATGCTGGACCGTGTACCTTAAAAAACAGGAATAACTTGGTTTTCCAACATGATGGATGCCCTGCGCACTATTCGCAAAATTTGCGAAATTCATTAAATGAATTATTTCCTAACCATTCCTGATTTCGTTTTTTGCTTCTTCCTCCTAAATTATACTACAATATGCTGATGACACACAATTTTTAAATTACAATGTTACAGAAGAAGGTCTACACAGAAAAACTGTAATCTCAATGCAAGACGCAGAAATTTGGTTTAAAAGCAATGAAGTCATGCTAACTAGAGAGAAAACACAGATTATGAAGTTTTGTACGCGACTTGAAGGGAAAACAGAAACCGTAACACTTCTGGGAAGTATATTAAATAATACTCTTACCATTCAAAACAATGTCCTATACATGTCCAGTAAATTAAGTTCAATAATCTACACTATCAGTGTTTAGGCAACCCAAATAACGAACCAAATTTTATGTAACCATGACAATTTTGTCGATTTTCAAATGTTACAAATAAAACAAGCAGCCATTATTGTATTCGTTATTAAAACGACGCCTTTTATTCGATCCTCGGAAGATAGAACCCCAATTCAAGTAAGAAATTTCCAATTTTTCTTCGAACCAACACCTACAATTATTCCCGACATTTGTCGCGCGAACATTTGGTCCTTCNCAGCAGAATATATATTTGTGTGTATTTTGTAAATACTTACACGACAGAAAGGAGCAGAAACGCAGAAGTGTTTCGACCACCTAAACATCGTTTACGGAAAACTCAACATGGTATCAACTATATATTGGAATATATATATTTTAAGCTAGCAGGACCACTTTTAAAAAAACTTAAAAAAATAAAAGAAAGGTGGATTTAAGAAGATCTGAATTTGTACTAATTTGTACCACCGATAAAAAATGTGTACTATATGCAGTTAATAAAATGCGGGGGCGGTAGTTTAATACTAAAACCTACCAGCTTCAAGTGCACCAGTGGAAAGTGAGTTTAATAAATTAAAAACATTATTACTAAAAATTGTTCATTACTGCGCATTGATGATTTTATACAGAAACACGTACAATATTTACGTGGTGCACTGAAAATTGTCGACGCGGAAAGCAATATTAACAATACATATATATATCGCCTGCAGATTCGGAAGATTCTAACGTCAGTTTAATATCAGATCTGAATAATTCCGTCCTGCATTCAAAAATAATAGTAAACCGTCCGGTACATACCTTTGTCAAATCTGTAAGAAATCTGTCCATGCATTACCTCAATGCTCCACATCGTATGACAATTTTGAAGATGGCTATGGTCAATGTCGTATATGCATAATGTGCAGAGATAATGTGCAAAATGCGAAAGTCATAATCGGAAACCGCCAACAAGAAAATTGGCGTGGGCAGATAAAACAAAATAAAAATAAGAATTTATGCCTTGGAAAAATCCACATAAGATAATAGACGCTCTTACAGCAAAAAAGGCTGCAAAATTACCAATTTTAAAAAAAGGTATAATATTTCTTTAAATGCAGTGAAAATTGAAAGCGGCAGTTACACCGTTAGTAACACTTGTGCATTTGATAGCATATTCCAAATTTTATTTGCAGCGGGACATGATTTGCCTAATATTTTTCAGTACATAGACACAAATGAACGAAGAAACATGTTTTTCAAATTAATTATTCATGCGATAAAGAACAGCATTAGCCAGTATATTTATAAATTGCGCGCGCAAATTTTATTGGAAACATATCCGGTATCTGATATAGGAGGGTGTAAAAACATAAATTCTGAAACGAATGTAGGGTATTTAGCTGGCATATTATTTAAAGAAACACCCAGTTTTAAAGAAACAACTCAATGTAACTATGATCGCGCCACGATATAAAAAGTTGTCAGTGATTCAAATAGAAGACACAAAAATTATGGACGATACTAACTTTAATGAAGTTATCGCGCAAAGTTTACACCTACCCGACCACCGTTGCTGCACAGAATTCTGTGTTGGAATTGAAAAAACCACGCTGTCTGAAACAGGCGAGTATTTTACATTTTAAAAATAAATATCAACATTACAATAGCATGTAAAGTTTCTGAAACGAAAGATATTGGACGTTAAATCATATTTATTGAATATACCTGCTAGCGTTGTCTCTGTTTCCATCGACTATGAATAAGGACGTACTCCTTACTTAGTCAACACTGACTGGATCGGTTAGTTAGCGGTTAATTTGTTTCAGAAACCAGCGGTAGTTCTGTTTCTTCGTTTACTAAAAAAATAATTTAATTACTTATTTTAATTGCGCTGGTTATATTGTTTCAGGAGACATTATAATTTACGAAATATTCACAACAAGTACAGGTATTCAAATAAGGATTGCGGATATTGATAAAACCTGCAGCAATCCCCAAAACGGAAACACTTATAGTTTAATTGGAATAGTTTCTTATAAAGAGCCCGTGATAACAAGGCTAAATGAAAGTATAGTGTTAAAACAAATGGGACACTACACGGGAGTATATTTAAGAGACTTTAACAGACCTTAACAAAAAAGAAATAATTCTTAAAAACAATGCAAAAATAACACCAGCATTATTAATATACGCCAAGCAGAATAGTTGTTAATTTTATTTGTGCAATATTTAAGCAGTCATTATTATTTCTTGTTGATTGTTATTATAAATGACATGTAAAGGTTTTGTCATTGTATTAATATATACAATAAATATTAATATATTTATTGTTTTACATTGTTACAATAAAGATTCTTTTATAAATAATATTTTTTTACGCAGTGCATTTGTTATATTTTCCGTCCCCGCATTTTCTTAACTGCATATAGTACACATTTTTTATGGTTGGTACAAATTAGTACAAATTCAGATCTTCTTAAATCCACCTTTCTTTTATTTTTTTAAGTTTTTTTTTTAAAGTGGTCCTGCTGGCTTAATATTAAGCTAGCAGCGCCACGTGTTTCTCTTTAACGGTACATAGTATACACTTTTTATCGGTGGTACAAATTAGTACAAATTCAGCTCTTCTCAAATCCACCTTTATTTTATTTTTATACGTCTTTTTTTTTGAAGTGGTCTTGCTAGCTTAATATTAAGCTAACAGCGCCATGAGTTTCTCTTTAATGGCAAATTAGTACAAAATAAGTACTAAATAATCCAATAGGTCTCAATCGGTTCTGCCATTATGGTCCTGCCAGCTTAAGAGAGGTAGCATTAGAACTAGCACTAGATCTGGAACTAGAAAGATTCGGATTTAACCATCTTAAGACACGTACTTACATCTAAACCCCAATGTTTCTAGTTCTAGAGTAAGTTTTACTTTTCGTTCAATAAAAATATACAACAACCTAGCGTTAAATAACAATTAAAACTAGAATTACCGTCCTTAATTTATACATCGTACAGACAATTCAGGGAATACCCCGAGTTTATCTATGAAAATGGACAGAGCAACTTAGGGAATAACCCGAGTTAGATTCTATCTATGAGAGCTAACATTTATATTTAAATATACTTATGTATTAAATAGATAATATTAATAGATTTTACTGTTTTTAAATTTAAAATTTTCCTGCATGAAATTTTCAATTTTGTTGTCACTAATAGATGGCGCTATAAAACGTCAAAAGTCAAAACTTTTATCTGTCACAACAAACTAAAACATAATTTTATAAAAACCTTTAAAAATGTCGTATATGTTAGCACATTTACACAATGGTTGGCAAGTAGACCAAGCCATACTATCAGAAGAAGATAGAGTTGTTGTAAGTAATCGTCTATAATCCGTTTTAAAATTTTAACCTACATTTCAATTTTTTTGAGGTTAGGTGATACGTTTTGGTCACGATTGGGACCCTTCTTGTATGAAAATGGATGAAGTTCTTTATAGTATTGCAGATAAAGTGAAGAATTTTGCCGTGATTTATTTAGTAGACATAACGGAAGTCCCTGATTTTAATAAAATGTAAAAATGATTTTGAGGTTATGATAGATTTTTTTTAATCTTTTCTTTTAGGTATGAATTGTATGATCCATGCACTGTGATGTTTTTCTTTCGGAATAAACACATTATGATCGATTTGGGTACTGGTAATAACAATAAAATTAATTGGCCTTTGGAGGATAAACAAGAAATGATTGATATCATTGAAACTGTTTATCGAGGGGCTAGAAAAGGACGAGGTTTAGTGGTTTCCCCGAAAGATTACTCTACCAAATATAGATATTAATTTATTATAATTGTATTAGAATAAGGATTAAATTAAAGTCGAGTTTTAAAATAACTGAAATTTCTTCATTTATGTACAGAAACAAATATTTAATCAAAGTAGTACTCCTATTATAAATAATTTACACATATATCAACGTTAACTTGTATGTTTTTTAAATGTTATTGGTTTTTTATTCCACTATTTCTCGTATGTGTTTATTTATATACATACATATCATGTTCTAAAACATATAATAGGCCTATTTCCTTCTACTTTTTCAATTTTATAACCAATATTAATGGGTATATTTCATAAATTATCTTGGTGTTCCTTATACCTACTTAATACATTTGTACAATACTCTAAAATAAAAGAAACCTTTTTTAATTTTTTCGTTTTTCTAAATATTTCGTTTCATTTCCTCTCCATATTGTTTTTAAATTTTGAGCAAAGCTCCTTTTTATTTTTAAAACTTTTTATTAATAATTAAAATCAATGATTAACTTCTTCAACATAATTTGCTGGATAAAGACCTACACGACCTTCTTTGCGTCCTTTACACCAACCTTGTTCGTCTTCATCTTCTAATTTTTCAAAAACATCACCTAAAAAATTTATATTGGTAACTAAGAAATTAATTCAACACAAAATAATAACCTTGTTTGAAGCTTAATTCATCATTTTCCGCCCCTTCGTAATCGTAAAGAGCTTTAACAGGGACACCTGGCTCACCATTATCAACCAAAGCGTCACTTTCTTCCCAATCTTCTTCTTCAAAAGGATTGGCTTCTTTTGCGTTAGAACCATTTCTAAAAAAATAATCAATTAGATTAAAAGAAAATTTAGAAAATAAAATTTTACGTTATCATTGAAGCTTGATTTGTTGGACTTTCAACTTTTGGTGAAGTTTTCGTTTCGCTGGATTTTTGTGAAACATCTGTATTTAGTTTTGTGGTTGATTTCGTTTTAACTGATGCTTTATTATTCACGGAATAATCCTAAAGAAAGAAAATGATTAAAATATGTAATACAAAGGTACACCTTAGAATTGGATGCACTAGTTTAAGAATGTGATTTAACACAAAGAAAAATGTAATTCATATAAATATTTGTCTCAAATGATAAATTATCAAGATATTGAATGTTAATAACATTCATTAAGTAATAAAATGTGTTTGTTCCTCTTCTTGAAGACATTGAATGTAAAATATTAAAGGTCTTAGAACATTGAGGAGGTTTGAAGCCTTTGGAATTGGTGTAAAATTCAAGGCAATAGCTAACTGATTGATATATCTAAGCGATTCTCACCAGTTTTAACTGAAATTAACATATTGATTGATGATATCCTTCTCTAAAATGAAACTAATTCAAGCAAAATACTTGAATGCATTCAGTTAAAAAAAAATGGAACAATGAAAAACGACGCAGAGAGTTAATCTAACAGGAAAAAGCTTCTCCAAAGTTAGAATATTAAACAATATTTAAAACTATTTGAATAAAAATCGCTGTCGTACTGGCAAAACCACACGGTATTTTTTATTATTATTTTACTTTTATCCATAGATTTTGCAATCAAAAACATAGGGTGCAATTTAAAAAATTGTTCGTGACCTTCATCTGACCTTGAAAATAAGGTCAAGGTCAAAAATTTTATCGTCATATAATTTCCCCCTTCGCACAGAATAACTTTCATTTGGTTCATTTTTATGTAAAATGAACCGTTATCGAGATAATGGCTTGTCTCACGTTAAATGGACCAACCTATACAGGTGTCTCATGTAACTGGTTCGTTAGATCTTTTTCATCTTCCACTATTCGTAGAGATTTGAAATTTTGGTAGCATGAGTTGTTCATTCGGAACTTTCGATCTAAAATATTTTCAAGATGGCCGCCACTTCCGGTCTACCGGAAGTAGACCATAACTTCGCTATTTTAAATGGAATGCTATAGTTTTTATTACNATGAAAAACGACGCAGAGAGTTAATCTAAGAGGAAAAAGGTTTTATACAAAGTTAAAATATTAAACAATATTTAAAACTATTTGAATAAAAATCGCCGTCGTACTGGCAAAACCACACGGTATTTTTTATTATTATTTTACTTTTATCCATAGATTTTGCAATCAAAAACATAGCGTGCAATTTAAAAAATTGTTCGTGACCTTTATCTGACCTTGAAAATAAGGTCAAGGTCAAAAAATGTTATCGCCAGTTTCCCCCTTCGCACAGAATAACTTTCATTTGGTTCATTTTTATGTAAAATGAACCGTTTTCGAGATAATGGCTTGTCTCATGTTAAATGGACCATTACATGTTTCGACCTTATCAGGGGTCATCTTCAGAAGCGTTGTCATTAGAAAAAACTTGGCGTTCAAAACCTCGTACATATCGTACATTTTTGGCACATCAAAATACAAATTGTTATTGTAATACACAAAAGTGAATGCAAATGTAAAGTTTAAAAAGTAAAAATTATAAAATTAACACGTTAATAATAATATATAATAATAAATATACATCTCGAGTACTGAACAACTATCGATTGGGATGTCATATTTTGATCAAGGAAGTTCAAGAAGTATTCCTCGAATTGGTCAAGCTTGATGCTTTGGATGCGAAATGTATTGCAAAAGCAATAGATGAGTTTTTGGTAGAAGAAGATCTTGATCCGGACAAATGTGTCGGTTTAAAAGGTGGTGTGGTACTATCAAAGGTACCATCATGAAGGTACCATCAAAGATATTATTACAATTTTTTCAAGAATCAGTTTTGAGACGCAAATTGATACCAAATATTTTGACAGCCAAATACTCGGCTATGATGGAACCTGTGGTAAACGTGCTCCAATCCGTAGCTTTGAATGCAGTTAAGGCATCCCAGCACATTAGCCGCCTTTTGGAATTTATAGAAAACCACCGTAATGGTCCAGAAAACGTCACAAATGGAATTATTAGGGACGACTATCGTTGCAGAAAAACTTGGACTGGGAGAAGACATGAAGTCCGTGCCGCGTATTGTTGAGAGACAACAACATCAGAACAACCACCCAGCAGCAAGCCCCTTAGAATTCTGGTGGAGGTCTTTAATAATACCATACTTAGACTCGATTATTAATTCTTTTGAAGTTCGCTTTTCTGAAGAAAACACCCCGTCAGTTTCCTTATCTAAATTACACCCAGCTCAAATGTTAGACATGTTCCTTGAAGACCTCGTGGAAGCTGGTGACGTCTTTTCCCAATTTTACAATTTATCAAATATCAACAACGAAATCGAACTATGGAAAAACTATGGCAAGATAAACCTGACTCAAAAGAATTAAGTGTTGTGGATGTCATAAAAGATGCCGAAATTTTTTTCCCCGAAACGAGAAAAGCCTTTATAATTTTGGTCACTTTACCCTGCACGACATATACTGTTGAACGATCTTTTAACAGCTTGAGGATAAGAAAACCTGGCTTAGAAGCACAGTATGGCAGAATGTCGTCTTGCCATGATGAGTGTGTATAGGAAGCATATTTTTGAGAACTTTGATGGTTTTATTAATAATCTGGTTGAACAATTCGCGAAGAAGCCACGAAAATTATGTTTTAAACAATTTGGTGTTTTTTTTTCAATTTTTTTGTCCTGTCATAAAAAGGCGAAATCATTACGTTCATAGCAGCGGTAAAACCAAGAGAAGAGGGCTTTTTGATCAAATTTTTGTATCATGTCTTTGATGTCTAAACAGCCATGACACAGGTATAGGAGCAACTTACTCTCATGGAAAGTATCACTTCAGAGAATGTCTCTCTTAAAAAGTAAACTGGTTACTTGATGGGGAGAGTATTGAACCAGTATTGATTTCCATCGAGTGCCACACGAACGGGTGTTGGAGGAAGATCATTGTCTTAAAACGGTGGTTGTGAAGTTGTATAATAGATTGAGACGTGATCGGCTCTTCGATGTTGTTGGTTTTAAAATATTGTTCCCCTTTGGCTCTGAAAATCGTCGTGGTTTGCTAATAAGGTTGCTATTTCCGCAAGAAGCTATGAGGCGTCTTTTTAAGTGAGGACCGTTTCTAAATAAAAATAAAATCAGTACACTTTTCTTAACAATAATAATAACTTAACAAATTGTTCCCAGCCAGTGACTGACCCAATCAGATCTTGAGTTCGATAGGCCATGTGTGGACGGGCATTGTCATGAAGCAACACAACTCCCTTACTCAGTATGGCCCGTCTTTTGTTTTGGATTGCATGATGCAGTTGTTTTAAGGTCTCAGAATAAGTCGCAGAGTTTATTGTGTCATCACGAGACAAAAATTTCACAAGCAATATCTCCTTTCTGTCCCAAAAAACAGTACACATGATTTTCTTGGCTGAAATTGTTTGCTTGAACTTCACTCTCTTGGGTTATGTTGAATTCCGCCATTCCATGGATTGCTGCTTTGATTCTGATATAACGTAAGCCACCCATGTTTCGTCGCCTGTGACAATTTGGCTGAAAAACTCGTCTCAGAAAAGTCAAAGAACTGGCTTAACGTTTGCTGTTGTGCTCCTCAGTCAGCATTTTCGGTACCCAGCGTGTTTTCGTTTACATGGCAAACTGACATCTGTACCAGATCCTTTACTTGGTCTACATATCTCACCGGTGATCTCTCTTGACCTTTTGCCATCAACCTCCATGTACCGGGAGATCCACCATCAACCTACAGGAGAAGCTGTATCATAAGTTTTTCCATGCCGTCCTTTTATATTACATGACCGAAGAATTTAATATGCGATGCTGGATTGTTGATAGTAATCTTTCATTATCGCGTATTTTCAATCCTTCTTTGGGGTGCAGCATTTATGATTCAATTCTGAGCCATATATTGGAAGAGGAAATAATGGTGGTCTTTCCAAATTTTAACCAGTCCCTCCAAAGCATCCTTAGTAATTCCGATTCTTCTCTTTATTTCTTGTTCTGAGCCGCCCGCATTTGTTATTTTCGCGGACTCGATAGTGTAAGGAATGAAATTTGAATAATTCAATAGTTGTAATGATGATAGTTTATTTTAAAGAACTAGCAATGTTTTTCTCTGTTTTGATTGTGTTGTATTTATGTGGATAATGTCGATATTGATAAATATAATCTTGTATATACTCAGGTACCTCGCCATCGACAAGAAAATAGTTATCTAACTCTGACGAATTGCAGCAAATTACGAGGAACTAAGGCTCCAACCGACCTTCAGGACTTACTTCTAGAAAGTCTGTGGTGTTATACCAGAAATCTCGTAAATGTTTGGATATCCCAAATGACTTTGCTCAAACATGGGTATAATTATTAAAGAAAATATAAGATCACATAGGAAGTTGAAGAGTGTGAAGATTGAATTATTTATTTGCCTTTTTCATTGTATCAGATAGAGCTAAATATCTTGTTGAACGTGTTTTATAAAATCTCTATGTAGCATATTGAATCGAGTATTGAAGCCAAGTATTTAGGTCGTAGCTTCTGATAGTCGCAGAGCTTTTCTGTAATATTTAATCTTTAACAACTCCTTAGGAAAAAATGAACTTCCTGCTGGTATGTCAACGTGCTACCGATGAGAGTTTTGTTATTTGCTATTAAATACAGGGTGATTTATTAGCTCACCATCAACCTTTGACATATGATAACTAATCCAATTACTAAAAAAAATGTTAATGAACATATATCCTATTTCAATTATTTACGAAATTATAACACTTTAAAGTTTTCTGCAGCGAATTTATTAATAGTCAGTAAAACCAAACATTTAACAAAAACAAAATAGTCATTGTAATATGTCAGTTTGCTGTAAGGTTTAATTATTACATACAAGAAGAAACTCAAAATGTACGCTTATAGCACTGAAGAGGAAATGGAAATGCTCGACAATCAGTCGAGAATATCAAGAAAGATTTCCACAGCGTCATTTGCCATATTATTCGGGTTTTAACGATTCTTTCAGAAGACTTCGAGAAACAGGTAATCCTGCTCCAGCAAAAGCTATTCGACCGCATGTAGTTAATGTAGAGGACGAAGAAGCTGTAATTAATTCTGTCATTGATAATCTTTCCATCAGCACTCGAAGAATAGCACACAACATACATGTAAGTCAAATTTTTGCATGGCGCGTATTGAACCGCGAAGGCCTTCATCATAAACAGAATGTTCAAGTTCTACAGCCAGGAGAGAGTTAGCATTTTGTTAATGGTTATTGAAGCAACATGTCCAAAATAATGACTTCATTTCAAATGTTCTCTGGACAGATGAATCATGTTTTACACGAAATGGTATAAATAATTACCATAATGAACATATCTGAGCATTAGAAAATCCGCATGTGATTAGACCAAGGAAATTTTAACAACGTTTCAGCATCAACGTTAGAATATTTAACAACAATTTACTAGGTTTGCATGTACATGATGGGCGTTTGAACGCTCTAAATTACAGATTTTTTTTGAACAATACACTTTTTGATTTACTTGAAGATGTACCTCTTAACGTAATTCAAAATAAGTTGTACTACCACGATGGTGCCCCACCTCATCGCGGAAGAGTAGTTTTCGAGTGGTTAACCAATATTTTCCAAACAAGTGGATTGGTAATAATGGTCCATTTGCTTGGCCACCTTGATCCCCCGACCTTAATCCATTGGATTTCTACTTATGGGGTCATATGAAACAAATTGTGTATCAAGTGGAAATTAACACATGAGAACAGTTATTAAACAGAATACAAATGGCTGCTACTGACATAAGAAATCAACCAGACATTTTAATTCGGCTGAAGAACTCTTTAATTCGTCGTTGTGAAGCATGTATTCTAGCAGAAGGAGGCTATTTTGAACAATATTTGTAATATTTGTGTTTTAAAAAAATGTTGCAGTTTATTATGACATAAAAATTAAAACTTTAAAGTATTATAATTTCGTAAATAATTGAAATAGGACATACGTTCATTAACATTTTTTTTGGTAATTGGATTAACTATCATATGTTAAAGTTTGATGGTGAGCTAATAAATCACCCTGTAAAAAATTGATCCAAGACAACAAGGCGTTTATAGTCGTAACATTTTTTCATAATCATTATCAAGTGGAAGGTACAGTGTTTACCGACCGAGAAAAATGATGGACACGAAAATTGTGCACATGAAGTGTTTTCCCCATTGGTACCTATTCAAAAGACGAGGTATTAAAAATTATACCCGTAAGCGTCAGAAACAAACCCGTGCTGGTCAACAGAAGGTCATATTGGGCTGGTGGTCAAGTGCGGCAAGGAAGTTACTACAGCTATTTGTCCCTGTAAGATTAGATTACTAGGGAAACAAGGTTGGTAAGCCCCACAAAATACCCTGTAAAGTAACAGGAATATGTGGTTCAGTTATCGTGAGGTTGATTCCTACACCACGTGGTACTGGAATTGTTTCGGCTCCTATTCCCAAGAAATTACTGCAAATGGCAGGAATTGAAGATTGTTACACTTCAGCTAGAGGAAACATGGGGACATTGGGTAACTTTGCTAAAGCTACATTAGAGAGTCGTACTAACCCAAACAACTTCAGACAATACATTCAGACATTGCTCAATATCTTGGTAGAAATTCATTTGAGACATTTATTTATATGATTTTGTTTTTACTTTATAGCGAAGATAGACCACACTCGTAAAACAGTGATATATAGAAACATCCTGTTTTCAGGCCAAACAAATTGGTTTAAAAATTTTTTTTTTGAAATCGTTACTATTATCGAGTTTATCGATTAATGGGGGTAAAAAATAAAATACTGTATATTAACATGATATGATATACTCCTATCATTGAAATTTAACCGAAAAATTTGATTTATTATGGCTATCTAATACTATCAATGCAAAAGATACGAAAATAGGAGCTTATTTATCGGAACAAATTATTATTGGAAACAAAAAAAATGCTCAAGGACTTAAAATCATTGCATCTGCACTTCTAATTTGTAAGTTCAGTGTTAATTTTTATTCTTATTGATTATTAAATGGCAGAGTAGATGGGATTATGTGATCAGTTAGCTTTAATTGTTCTCTGCAGCATCATACGTGAATCAAAATATGTTTTGATTTGAATATAATTGAACGACTTCAAAAAAAAATACAAAATATTCAGTATGTATCGCGACGGGAAAGCTTTCTTTAAATACTCACGCGCCCTTAATTGGCTCAGCAGCACGGTTGCTTTGATATTAATCCCTAAACGGCCAAACACACTGTGGTATAACCATCAAACGTCTAATTCAATCAACACACTAAGTGTCAAGTTTTGATGTTATATCACATACATTTAGAGTACAATCGTTAAGCTTTCTCGCCTTGATACATTAAATATGTTTTTAACATCAAGATGGGAAGTCACATCTAGTATTTTTTATAATAATTAAAATAAATTAACAAGCATACATGCAATTCTTCTCCTACTGGTCTTTGATTGATCAGCATGATTCCAGCCGTTCCAGAATCCTTTGATTTGCCCTTTGCAATGTCTCTGAATTCCTCTGTGTACTCCTAAATTTGTTTTTATTGAGGGGGTACATGCAAGAGAAACACACATAAAAAAATCAAATCATGCTTTTTAACCCTTTACAGCGCTATACTTTTAACTTTTGTATTTAGGCAAGAAAATTATTTGAGAAATAGTAACTTGAATAATAAATTCGTCTATTAGATGTGATCTCATTTTTTTATAGTCTACTATAAAGGGTTAAATTTTTCTACAGAGGGGTCGGTTAATAAATTGATCAAGCTTTTTATCTTTCATTATCAGATCAATCACATTTCTTACCTCAAATTGTGGCCAATTCATTGCCATATTCACCCCGTGGTTATTACTCCACCATTTCAAGTCTTTTTCATGATCAGCATTGTTAATGGTGTGGTAAAGTTCTTCGTAAATTTGTGGCAACCTAAATCAAAGCCAAAAAATCAATCAATTTTTATTCGTTTTATCAAAAAATTAAAAAAAATAATAATAATATTTACACTGGATCCTGTGAAATATTTAAATGCTTATGAATGTCGAATAAAGTTTCCTTAATAAAGGACAGTCTCTGAGCTTCGATTTCTTGGCACTTATCGAATACAACCGTCATATCTTCCATGTACTTGGGATTATAGCTGTTGATTTCTTGAAGGGCTTGATTGTATTTGTCGCGATTCTTTTGCACTTCTTCCTTTGTCTTTTGTACTCTATCTGCCATTTTTTTCACCTAATAAATAACGAACCATAAAAAAAAATAGGATTAAAAATAAGTTGGAAAATATAATAATTGTATCAAACATATTAAAAAAAAAAGAATTAATAATACATTTTAAAAAATATTTAGCATACCAAGAAAGCTACCTATTTCTTGACAACAACTGATAAGAAAAGCAGGTTTTAGTTGGTTAATAGACACTCACCAAGGTTATACGCTATTTTAAAAAATTTTAAAAATGTTAAATAAAACAATAAATGAGTTATTTTTAAAAGTTTTACCTGATCTTGAGATATTGAGCTATCTCCAGTTGCATTCCTTTCTTGATTCGTCGCGGACTTTTCGGTTTTACAAGCGGTGTGATAATCGCTTTTAGCTTTATCTACTTTCTGTAGATATTTCACCCATGGTTTTTGAGCCTTTTTAAACGAATCTTCCATATCTTTTCGTTCCTTAATTTGCATCATACTCTAAAAATAACGAAAAAAAAAATGCATAAAAAAAATGAATTTTTGATTTTCTTTTTAACCAAATCATAAAAAATCATCGAATACGTAACGCTTCGTTTCTTCTATAAATAACGATTGTAACACCGAAAATAATTTGCATTTCATTGTTATTTGTGATTCATGACAACAGAATGAATGGTTTTGTTTATTTACGATAGCATAAAAAGACGCAAAAAGTTTCTTTGCGTAACTCTTTAAAGTATTCACGTGATTTAAAATTATTGGGTGTTTGTTTTATCGAAAAAGGTTTAAAAAATTTAATGTTTATTAATTTATGATCTAGATTAAATTATCTGTTTAAAGTATGACCTAAATACATTAGATTTTACTTCGAATACAACCAAAATATCTAGAACTCTAGTCATGCTGGTTTTAATTGCCTCTTACATATTCAATTTTATTTTTAATGCACAGATCGTGTTTAAAGTATGTTTAAGGAGTGTTTATTATTTTTATTAAAAAAACAATAAAGGAGACTTGCAATTTTGTGAACAAATTTCTGAATTAATTGAAATTTTAACTTAACATTACTAACTCATGGACAATTAAATTAAAAAAAAATAATTAATTAAGTGGAATGGTGGCCCGAAGTGACACGCGGAGTGTATCTATATTTTCTAAGTAAAGGAAAATTGAAGATAGCTGATGCCTACAAGATTACAAACGCGTGATGGATATCTAAACCTGTGACACAATCGATGAGAAAACCAATTACATTTTCCTAGCATTTTTGGCAAAAATTTCGCAAGATAAGTTATTTTAGACACACGCGCCAGATATTTAACCAAGAGATTTCTTGTTGAGCAAGTTTTGACAATGAAAAAATGTTCTGAAGACATGAAAGTAAGACTAGTTAATGTTAATAGGTTCTCACAAAAACAGAGTAAAGATCCAGCTGTTTATAAAAAAATAAGTCTCCTAAATGAAAAATTATAAATACCTTTTGAAGCGATTATAAGAGGCTGCAGCTCCCCAATTCTACCCAATTCTGACTCTCACCTCCAAAGTGATGGTCCCTGGATACCTAAGCAACCCTACGGAAGACTGTGGAAATCATCCCCAAGAGAAAGCAGGTCATGACTAATGAGAGCGGAAGAAATGGTCTTCCGAAAATGGGATAGGTGAACTACCCGCTACTGTAAAAATTATACCAGTTAGAGAACCCAAACGATTGTCTCCGAACGAAGGATGGATTCTCCGAAATAGACCTATGCTATTGAACGTGAAATATGTTTTTGGAACGTAAGAAAGCAAGAACGCAAAAGACGAATGTTCAGAATGCAATACTAAAAGAACAAGTTCGTGACCAGAACGTGTGGAGGATGAGGTACAACAGTGAGATATATCAGTTTTTAAAATATATCATCTTTATATCATTTATATACAGGTGTCTCACGTAACTGGTTCGTCAGAACTTTCTTTAGAGGTTTTTCTTTTGGCTTTTCGAGTGCCAAGTTATACTCCGTTAGCGATTTCCCATAGAGATCCCATGTATGTTCGAGTTTAGAATGACGAACTTTATTATACATGGAATTTGGATAGCAATTTATGTGTTATGGGTCAATTGGGGGTGGATTAATTAGGGTATCTCACGTAACTGGTTCGTTAGAACTTTTTAGGTTCCACTATTCGTAGTTTTGAAATTTTGGTAGCATCATTTCGATCTAAAATATTTTCAAGATGGCCGCCACTTCCGGTCTACCGGAACTAGACCATAACTTCGTTATTTTAAATGGAATGCCATAGTTTTTATTACACCCTTTAATTGTACGTAAAAAAATAGGTTGACTTTGATAAAAGTTATTGGTACCTAGCGTTTTTTGTTTTCGAGCTATTTTGGTTTCAACCTTTTTTTGATAAATTTCAACATGCTCTTTAAAACTCCATATCTCAGCCAACGTTCATTCAAAAAAGATCTATATTGGCACGATTACTCTTCAGATGCTATCAAATATATTGTTATTTGTTGTATTGGAGTATCTGATACAGGCTGGTCAAAAATTGAATTACTGTTTCTCCATATTCAATGGCGAGAAAGTCTAAAATGTTAAATGGAATGCCCCATATTTTTTTAGCCTATCAGAAAGGGAATTTAATTCTCTACAAATTATCTATAAACATTCCTATACCTATTTATTGTAGTTACTCTCGTATTGGGAAATCTATCAAAACATGCAAGAATTGCAGGAAACCGTATGTATTTTTATTAGAAGGCCATGACATTTTGAAAGTTTTTTGTTTAATTTATTTATCGGACAGGGGGAAGTAGAGGCAAAGGTTAAGGGAGGCCAAGGCCCGACTTCGGCTGTAGAACCTCAAAAGAAGTAGAAGTATTATAGAGGAAAGGGAAAGTTAGTAGCTATGTCATTATTGGTTAAAAGAAAAATCATTTGGGAAAATTAATATCTCAGTTGCGAAGGAGAGACGATCCAATATTTCCTTGTTTCATTTCATACAAAGTTTCTATCAGTGACAATCTATAATGGAGAAACATAAGAAATAAACAGAAATACTGAACAATATAGATAACAAACTCTGGAGTACCATAAAGCCCAGTTTTAGACCTACTGTGGAATATTTCTTAAGCCAAACATCTTGCTGCAAATGTTGACGATTGGATGTAACGAGGAAGTTGTAAACCATGAGTTTAAGCATAAGGTACGGCATGAAAATGAACCCGCAAATGAGCGATGAGGAAAGTAGTCATATAAATATATTAGTGTTACATTTACAACTCATAGAATGCTGTTGGTGCTAGTTTGCCAATATTAAAGGAAATGTTAGTACTTCAAAGAAATAATTAAGCATATCTATACGGGAAGGGATGCGTTGATTTCCCCACCTAACACGATCCATTTCGGAAGACGAGAATGAGGAAGTTTAGAGCGAACTTACAATCAAGAAAAAAAGGAACCTTTCATAGAGAACATTTGTTTCTTTACATGACTAGTGATAGAAGCAACGAAGAAACATAAGATTGATATGTATATACAGTCTCCGCTAATGACGGCTAATTTTATTTTTTTAAATGGTTCACAATGGATATATGATATATTATGGACATCTCACAATTAAATATTGATTAATTTTTATTATTTGATTAAATAAAAATTTGTGACGCGCATAGCGTTCAGGAATGGAATTCTTGCTGACCAAACCTACAAATTTAAAACAGCAATTTACAAATGAAAAAGGAGTGAGCAGCATCACACACAAAGTGTCATAAAAGCAATCTCGATTTAGTTTAATGCGTCTTTTAGGAGCAAAGGTCAATTAAAAGCATCGAGTACTGAAAGTTTAGCTCAGTGACATCAATACATTCACAAAACAATTAAAAAAAAGTATTTTAAATTAGGAGACACTACTTAATAAAAAATGGAAAGAACGCGGTCGAGGTTATCGAAAATTTATGTATTGTATATGTAGCGCAGCACAATTTCTATGAGTAGTACAAAAATAAATAAATCACGTATTGGGATTATAAAAGCTTATCTTATTTCACAGACAACAGATTATCGAAACTTTTACCAAATTGGTATAGAAAAAAATATCATCTAGGAACATCTTCTCACTACTGCAGACTCAACAAATTCGAATTTTATAAATAAACTACTTAATGGGCCTTTATATTTAAAAGAAATCTTGCAGCTAATGTTTGCGTCAATCAAGGACAATAATTGAGAATTGAGTGTGACATGAAGTTGCACAAATCTCACTTATATCCTATATCATATATCAAAGTCAATGTTCGGATGACTTCCAAAACCGACTAACGTTTTATCAATAAGCAGTTTAGGCATATATGAATAAGTCAAAGCTATTTTGCTGATCTGTTTTCTGATGAATCAACATTTATGAACAACGGAGACGAAAACTCTCGCCGGGCTCGTGAATGTCGCAGTGAAATTTAGTACGCGACTAATATCGAAAATTTTTTGAGTGAGAACTACCACGATTTTTGAAGATGTAAGGAGACTTGTTGATGTGCGAGAAAGCAGCTTGTTTCAATGCGATGGCTGCTCTGCACATTAGACACTAAAACTTTTGTCAAAGCGTATCAATAGGAGATGGAATGTTGCATTTTAAAAAGTACAGAAATTGCAAATACCACTGAATCTTCAAGGTTCCACTTTTCATTAATTTGCTGTCATTAATTCATTAATTTCAAATGTCTATTTCAAATGTATATTGGTATATATGAAAGGAACACAAGATTTGAATACACAACTTATATGAAACAACTTCAATATGTGTTTAGTGCTACTTGCTTGACGCAAAGAGTTAAAATGTTGTTTATGATAACAGATATCAAATAGTAAATTCTGGTTCATAAACGCAGTCGGTACAAGAAGTCCTAATCTAAAGATGTAGAGATGTAAACTATGATTTATATGTGTGTCTAATAGATTACGAAAAAGCGACCAAGTGAGTTCATCATCTAAAGATGATCAACATTCAAATGCCAACTTGGATGACAAATAGAGAAAATGAAGATATTGCGTTAAGTTAGTCAATGCTGTATTCGCTCGTCGTTAATATTCAATATGTATTCACAAAGAATCTTTAAGAATTTCAAGGAGTAAATGAGGGTATCCTCTTGAACGTAGTCAGAATAAATGATATGGTGATGGCAAGTAACATAGAGGGATTACCAATTAGTTAGTAGATCGAATCAAACACTTCAGCCAGGAATATGGACTTAATATAAATGTCCAAAAAACAAAACGAATGATAATCATCAAAGAATATATCAATGGGACTCATCTCCGTATTACCTGGGAACTATAATAAATGAGCAATGGAGCAATGCACAAGAAATAAAATGACGTATAGGAAAAACGAAGGCAGTTTTCAATAAAATGAGCAAAATTTTCAAGTCACATCATATCCCTCGAAACAAAAGGAAGACAGCTAAGATACTGTTTTTTACACGCCATTATACAGCATGGAAATCTGGACTTTAACAGAAGCCACAACTAAAAAACTAGACGCCTTTGAGATGTGGCTGTAGATACGAATGCTCAAAATACCATGGAGAGCTCGCATGACGAACATTGAAGTGCTACAAAGAATGAAGAAGGAATCAGATATCATGTATAACATCAAATGCATTAGTAATAAACAATATATGTTATTTTGTATATTCAAAGGGTTAAAAATTAGTTGTTATGTCGATGAGTTCATCTAAGCGAAATGATTACTATTATTAAACGTAATTAAAGAAAGAGAAAAACTGCGAATGGTTCGTAATCAACTTAATTGCATTCTTATAAAACCATTAAAAGTCTTAGGAAACCCACATTTTTTATATTTCCTACAATTTCTTACCTTATGATAATTATCCTTTTGCCATAATTTAATTTTACTTGTAACATCATTAATCAAATTGTCCCTTATTTTCGTATGAACATCATATCGCCGATCGGCTTCTCCCAAAATTCCTTTCCAAGCTGCCTCTGTAGTTCCGTATTCAGGTCCTTTTTCAATAATATCGTTCCATTTCTTACTCCACGCCTTCAAACTTTTCGCATAATTCTTTTCTATTTCTGCCCGTTCTTGAATTAATGTAATCAAATCGTTACTCAGTCTATATCCGTCTTCAATCCGTTTAGTCGTTCTTTTATAATTTCCCGGCTCCCAAAATGAATCGCTCGTAGCTATTAACATGTTATCATCGCTGTGGTGCGACATTGTCGCAGTCTGATCTACTTTTGACCTAAAATAAAATACAAATAATTAAATTATTTCATTAAAAAAAATTAAAAATATGAAAAGTTTTGGAAATTTGATTACGCGCAGGTTCCTGGACCATGAGCAACGCGGATATGGAGCGTTTCTTGGATGAAATGTTTAAAAATAGACATTTTTTTGATTTAATATAACTTTTTATTAATTTTTTTTTGAGTTATTTTAGATGTTTAGACAAAAATTTTGAAGTAAATGTCAACATTTCTTAATTATGACACACATAGCTTTGAAATTAAAAAATTCTTGCGTATAAAATCTAATTGTTTTAACATAATGATGAACACATAAAATACCATTTAACATTGTCACAACGGCTTTCATTTCAATTATTTCTAAACGGGCGATATACGAGGTGTTTTGAAAAGATAACAACGATAATAATCGTTTAACACAATTGAATTATATAAAGTTTCTTATCTTCCGCTATCTCCCGTTTAATTTATCTGTTTACAACAATTTGAGATGATTGTCGTCATTTATTGCTGGCGTTTAAGATAACTTTTTGTATTAATAAAATTAAAAAATGGCGTGAGGTGAAAATGCGTTGAGCAAACTTTTAAACTCAATTTTGAGTAAATAAAATTCGTATAAAAAAGCTAATATGCGTTTCACGCTTTTATAGGGTTTCCACTCGTTGATAAAATAAATTGGATTGGAATAAATTTAAATACGGCTTACTGTCATGCGCAATTGGTTAATTAAATTAAAAGTTAAAAAAATAAATTGTGTAAAATTTAATGCTTGAAAGGTCACGTTTTATATTAAGTCATTTTGCTATGTAACAGTTTTGTATCTGGACTTATAGTGCAATGACATTTGCTAAAAACAACAAACGTATTGTGTATACGATTCGTTTACATAAGTTGTTATGATTTCATCTCCCGGTTGCATTCTTTTTTTAATTGATGTTTTTCACTTTAAATAACTTTTGAAAACCGAAAAGTTTTACTGAAATGCATTGATTATTTTATCTGCTACAGATTTTGCTGCTTTATAATGTTGCACCATATATTATAAATAAAATAATCTTCTTTCAACCCAGCAAAATGCTTTTGTTCTGGGTTCTTCGCTAAACACGTTTGAAACCAACTCCCTCTTTAACATAATACTTCAAATTCATAATTCTACATGAGGACCAGATGACACGTCTTTCTACTAATATTTTAAAGATAGAGATATCATAACACAATCCATGAGTTTGGAATACAAAGAAGTGATCGAAATCTAAACGCACAAAATTGAATGTAATGACCACCTTTGCTTCGCTGTAATTAAATGCCTCTTCGCATTCTGAACTACATTCAAACTGCTTATTTTTCTTCAGTTTGGCAGTAAGTAGGGTGACTTGAATATTGAGGCACGATCTTCTGATACCGCATCATTTCCAGAACACGTCGAACTTTGTTAATAAATCTAGATCGAGTTACCTCATTTTTACCCTCATCTTTGCGGGATCAACTTGAAGGCCACAACCAAAGTCTTTCAATTCAGGTCTGACACCTTTCTCTACTTACGACAAGTCTTGCAGTATGAATTAGCCGTCACACATCTTTCAAAGTTTCTAGGTTTTCTGCAAACTGTGAAAATGATGAGTTTGGAGTACAAATGAGTGAGCGAAATTGAATCAAACAAGATTGGGTGTAATGGCCAGATATACGCCTTCTCGCAATTTGAATGGGGTCATACACACTTATTAAATTTAGAGAAAATTTTTATGTCAAACGATATATGCAAGTATATGCATGAACACAAAGTAAAAGAAATATTTTGATCAATTTTATATTTTGCATAATTTGAAGTGAAAAATAGCAAATATTCAAACGAAATAATTTCGCGGCTTTTCTGTGACGTAGGAACCGCACTGCCTAAAACAAGTTAAATTGTCCGTTAGATAGCGCTTGCGGTGTGACAGTGTCAAAATAAAACCATGGATGTAATACAGTGTCTCTATTACATCCATGAACAAAACATAATAAACATAACCTACAAACACTCTATCTCTTTTCAATACAACCTAAATGACGTTCATCTCTTTCTCGCATTTGAGCGGGGAGCAGGGAACGCAAAAGTGAGAATCGTACGTCATCAACGCGGGAATTTTAAAAGCGCAAATGGGTATATAAATTTTCAATAATTTTTTTAACAATGTCTTTGTTCGAAAATATAAAAAAAAAAATAACGGTAACTATATTTTTATATAAACTTTCAGAAAATATAATAAAAAAAAAATCGTGTATGACCCCATTACATTCAAACTGCTTATATTGCTTCAGTTAGGCAGTAGGTACGATCTTCCAATATTACATCATCCCCAGAATACGTCGAACCTTGCTAATATATCTAGATCGAGGTACCTCATCTTTTCGGAATCAACTTGAAGGCCATAACCAAGGTCTTTCAATTCAGATTTGACCTTTCTTTAATTACGGCAAGTCCTGCAGTACGAGCCAGTTGCAATACCTCTCTCAATTTGTAAGTTTTCTTCATACTTGGTAATGACCACAACGATCAATATAATTCCGCCAAACATCAAAATAATTTAGGATCTGAATCAATTACAATGACTCGGTCAGTAAGAACTGACCACGCCGTCGGCAAGCTGTGTAGTCCAGAAGCCATCTTAGTAGCTAGAACAAACTGATGTGTATCACATTTTCAACCAAATTAATACACCTCAATCCTTTTGTTTAAAAATCAAAATGTTCTCCTAATACTTCTTTCTAACACTAAGGATATGTTGATTCTTTCGAACTATCTACTAGCTTCCCTGTACCATAAGCTGGAAGTAGTAGGATGTCACGTTGAATAGTGCTATTGGAATCGTAGAAAAGCGCGGTGACGATGGCTCGCTGAACTTTGTTCTGAAAACGCTGGAGGATTGCTATGTTCGAAGAACTACTAGTACTCTATAGCTGAATACTGTATGTCCACACTGATTTCAGGTTGGGTTTTTACAGCAATGTTTTGCCATTTGAAGATGGCCTGGTACTACTGTCTTCACATGCACCATAAACAGAGATGCGAAAGGAACTTTACTTGCTCCGGGTAGAACCAAGTAGATAAAACCGTGAATGACATGTGAAAACGATAGTACCACCGTCAGTGATTCAATACATTTTACTCAACATTATACCTAGTTGCTTGCGTTTGGAGAAAATTTTCCATTTGAGGAGTCCATTAAGATGCAGGAAAGCAAGATTAAGATCATTTTTGCCTCGTTTTGTCCACGTTTTCATCAACTTCTCAGTTATGTTTATATTACATTGTAGATTTCTAGAAGCAGATATTGCGTTACCTATATTGCGGTGTAATTAGCATATGTTGCAACAGTGGTAGTTTTCGTTGTTGATAGATCTAAAGTACATATCTATTGTGTACTTTAGATCTGTCAACAACACCTTACTGGGCTGTGAACGGTACCTTAAGGAACTCCTAGTATACACTACAAGCGAATATTCAGTACTACCTTGTTTTACAAGAAAGTGCCTGCCTATCAGATATTATAGACAGCAGTTGGTAGTGTGGATAAGGAAGGAGCTTCTTTAATTTGACTTGTAAGGATCTAAAGTCACACCTTACCTCGAGTGTTAAGGAAACCAGAACAATATCTTGTAATATTTAGATCCTTATTAATTCGCTTGATTAGTCCGTTTGTATTGTTCCCTATTTATCGCGAAAGTCAAAGTGATATTGTATTGAGTCTCTAGACATGCAGCTTTTCAAAGACTGGAGAACATCGGTAGCAATCTTATGAGTCTACACGAGGTAATCTCTCCTGGCTTTTTTTCCTGGTTTATGAATCATAATGATGTGAGCAAGTTTCCAGGTGTTGAGGAAAATACTTTGTTTTCAGAATCGCGTTAAATATGAAAGTTATTAAATTGTAACCAATTTTTCAGACAGTTCCTATAGAATAACTTCCAGTAACAAGATCAAATCTTGGAACGTTTTTCATATTTATTTGTTTCATTACCTATTTTATTACATTACTTTTGAACTTGTAGTGAGGCAGTTCCATGGGTAACTCCACGTCTAAGGGGCTAATTATGGCGGTTTTATCCTCTGTAGATAGCTCAGACAGAAAAGGGTTAAGCAGATTCTCTAGATGTGTTGAGATCTTTTTCTTTGGCCCAGAAGTTATTTTCATTTTTAAAAGGGGGATGTATTGTTATGGTCCTTCGTTGAGGAGGGAGATGTCTTCTGGTTGAATTCGTCGTATTAGGCTGGATTGTACTTGATATGTGTTATATCTCTTTTCATATAGTACAGGCCATAATTTTTGTTGCAATACTTTGTTAACTTATCATCTTCTATAATTTGCGGAATATAATTTCTTCTGCAGTTGGCACATTTAACTTAGTTGTCTCTTAAGGTACGAGTGCAATGTTTTGATGCATGTTCTCCTGCACATTTGAATATTTTACAGCAATCCTCGTATGCTTGACATCTTATGCATTGTGGTGGTCTCTTGGTATCTGGTGGTTCGCATTTGATGATATGGTTTCAAAGTCTTTCGACTTTATATACTTGTTTATAGCTTTTCTTAGATTTTAGATCATCGTAGAACATTGGTAAAGGCACCTTCGTGATTCTAAGTTTTATGTAATATTAAATGTCTTTTTATTCTCTGGTTTGAATATGTAGTACACATTGGGTGTTCTTGTTATCTAACTACACGATAAGAGTTTTGAAGTGAAAACTGTCCATAAAATAACGCCTACAATTACCTCATTTATTCGCAAAGAAAATGTTTCGAAAAGTTATTGAGAGGAGCATGGAACCGAAACCCAAGATACCAATACCTAAACTAGCATAATTTGGCAGTTCATTCATTTCAAATTCGGAGTAGTTTTGTATTTACTTTTTTAGTTATCATGGGTTGATCTTCACCAGTTAAAGAAATAGCTATAGTTTCTGGGTTTCAGTGGTAACAACGTTTTTTCTCACTAATCACAATAAATCCATCTT